TTATGGGCACATGGCTGAATAACAGCAGAAGCCTGTAAACCCGAGGAAAAAACATGCCACTCCGAATCAGAGGCCGCTGCAGCACCCAGCATGCCCTCCATCCTCGCTCCGTGTCTTTTGTCCCTTTTCCAGTTCATTTACAGGGTTGACCCAGGACAAGTGGCTCATCACTGACGCTGCTGCATGAACCTGAGCGCATGCACTCGCTTTAAGTTTTCTCTCTTGCCGGTGTTCTGCTGTTTTCGCTCTCACTGAAGGTGTGGAGAACATTAAGATCAGAGCAGCGTTTACAAGAACAGCAGTGTTACACACGTCTTGTCTGAAAAAGTTTGAACCTTTTGGGGATTTTGTTCCCATGAAGAGCAAACAAACACGACTGTCAGCATAAATGTAGCTGAAGCTAAAAGGGAGACGTTAGTGCTTTTCCTTTTTCTGCACCCTTCCCTGGTTAACTAACATTGTTGGTGGTGGAATAAAGTATGTGTGAGAGAAAACAAAGTGAAATTATTTATTAGACCATTTTAAAGTGTCCAGATTAAAGAAGGTAAGTGATAAACCAGGGTCTAATGTCAGGGAGGCTTTCAGAAAGGACCAAGAAAAGAGAGGACTGCCTGTGCATGTCGAGGGCTGGATGTTACGGGACTACTCTCTTCTTCTTTTAGCTACTCACCTTCCTCCTCCTCACCCTATCCCAGCTTCCTCGTCCATCTCGCTCTGCACGGCCTCCTTCACCGCATCCATAAATCTTCTCTGAGGTCTTCCTCTTTTTGTCCTCCTCCCTGGCAGCTCCATCTTCAACCACTGTCCCTCCTCTGCACATCTCAGCTTCGCCTCTAACTTTGTCTCCAAACTGCTCGGCCTGAGCCGTCCCTCTGATATTCTCATTTCTAATCTGCTCACTTCCGCTATAAAGAATAAAAAAATCAGAACATGAATCGTAACTTTTACTCTGCAACTCAACAAGACAACAAGGGCAGCGAGCTCCTTGATGAAACAATTTGATAAAACAAGTTGAGTCAACCCCGTAAAGAGTGCCAAAGGCTTCAGCAAATAAATGTTTTAAGAAGAGTTTTAAACTCAGAAAGAGAAGAGGCCTAACGTGCACGGGCAGATCGTTCCACAACTTTGGAGCAGCTACAGCAAAAGCACGGTCACCTCTAAATTTATACTTCGTTTTTGGTAATGTGGGGGTAATGTGCTCAGACTTGACGTGCTGCAGCATTTTGCACAACCTGCAGACGCCTAATGGACGCATCTCTAACCCCACAATACAGTACGTTACAATAATCCAGCCTAGATGTAACAAAGGCATGGATTACTGTCTCAAAAAGCCGCTTTGATAAGATGGGCTTTATTTTGCTCATTGCCTCAAATGAAAAAAGCAAAATTTTACAACAGCTCTGGCCTGGCTTTCAAGTTTATATAAGTTCAGATTTCACCATAAAAATCCCAAACTTGAACAGGAGCCACAAAACAAGAATCCCAAAACATAACCAGGTCCAGGGACCGATGCATCTCGAGTCAAAGTGCGATGGTCCCAAAGCAAAAGATTTTCTCATGTGAATGTTTTACTGAGTAAAAACCCGCCGTGATCATTGTGGTCCTGATACAGATCTGGGTCTAAGTGACTCCACCAAACACGGCTGCTGTCACGAGATGTTCTCTCAGTCTGTTGTCACGCTGTAAACCGCTTTAACAATCCACATTTTGAACCAATGAGTTCATAATGGAGACGGTGAAGCGCTGGCGTACAGCCGTGTTTACGAGCCGCGCTGCAGCGTCTGCGTCCTGCTGCTGTGGAGCACGCTCCGGTGGAGACAGCACGACTCTGCTCCCCTCATCTCAAAGCTGGCCGCCGATACGACACGAGCCTCTGCAGTGAGTAAACCGATATTAATCACTTCCAAAGTATCGAGCATGCTGACAGCTGTTGTTGCACAGACACTGTGTTTATGGGCTGGTGACTTCTCTGACCCTGTTTTCCACAGTGCCTCCTCAGGCAGGGAGAGATGATATGTCAGGAGGGAAAAACCTGCCTCTCCAGCTAAACTATCAGCCTACGGTGTCGCCCCGTGAGTCAACATGCGGTGTGTCGGTTTGTCAAAAATGGAAAGTTGCAGCGCTGCTTCGGTGAGGTCTCGCCGCTCTCACGAAAGGCAGAGCAGCGCGCTGCCAAGATCGAGGCTTGTTTTTAACTTCTGATATAAAATTTTAATTCCTCTCGTCTCAGCTGCTCCAGTGTTTAATCAGAAGCAGATGGGAAGTTTGACACACGCCACCAAACTGCTTTTCTGGAACAGTTTATCCTGCTCAGCTCAGCACTATTGAAATAAATCTATTTATCATTCAAACATTTTTATCCTCAAAAATGCAAATGACTGTGTGGACTGGTGCTTTTCTGCTCTAGCTGAGCACTCAGAGGGCTTTTACTAAAGCAAGCTCACCCATTCCCGTCCCTGCCTGAAGTGCTTCTACACCACACACTCTCGGGGATTCATCGGTGCCGGTGTTTACAACAGGAACCGGGGATTGAACCACCGCCCTTTCACTTAGTACCTGCTCTACTTCCTGCACCACAGCCAAAAAATAAAAATCCCTGCAAATACTGTAGCGTGTTGTGGTTTATAGCACATCCTCTGACAGTGAAAGGGTTGGATGGGCTGTGATTTCATGTGTCCTACAGAAGGAAGACTGTTTCCGACTCGACTCGAGGATAAGAACGTTGGTGGTGGGTGGATGATGAGTTGTGGACCATGAACTCTGTCCCACAGCTGAAGCTTGGAGCAAACTGAAGAAAAGAATCAAGGTGCTGCAGTCAGAGTCCAGACCTGACCTGACTGAGATGCTGTGCATAGATTAATGTCCCCAAACTCAAGTGAACTTAAGCAAGAGGTCTCATCATGAACCACATGATTGCCACTAAAAGTGGTTCAGCTCCACCGCTGAAATATCTCCTTCGTTAAATTTCCTCATTTCATCTAATCTTTACCCCCACATTTCCATTCTGCCCACTCCTCAGTCCAGAAGACTGTGACCCCCTCGTCCCCCTAAAACAAAAGCCAGTTTTCTTCTTCTATTAGATTGACGTGAATCACCGGCAGAGCAAACGTGGCCGTTTGCGTTGGCGTATTTGATCGTTTTTGTCCTTTTCAGAAGGGAGAGAAAAGCAGGGAGCTAGAAGAGGAGATGGGGCCCAATGAGTTTCCCTTTGCTTAATTATAATTTGGCCTAATTGGGCCGTCAGCCGACAAGTTCATGACAAAAACTGTGGCGCACTGGCTCCCCGCCCCCTCCAGAAGCTACTACTACCCTACTCTCACTTTCCTCTCTCTGCTTCCTGGTCCAGTTCCAGTTATCCTTGGCAAAAATCTGTTTGCATGAGAAGTTTACATTCTCGAGCCAGCATGTCTGCGTGACGACATACAAGACAACAATGCCATCTCGCAATCCGCTGTTTATTTAAGGGACACACTGTCTGGAATAATGGCTGGCAGATAAAGGGGCCACAGGGGGTCGAGCCGGTGCTTGTGAACGGGACAGAGAGTCACGCTAGGCCTGATGTAAATATTTCCAGGCCGCCCCACCCTAGCATCAACTCAAATGCTTTGAAGTATTTGCATACTTCAGTTTGCTCACTTACAAAAGACATGAACAGTCTCTAAATGTTATGGTAGTTTCATTTTAATGGACGGAGGCAGAATCTCGACCCAAAATGCTGAAAAGCACATTACATAAAGGTTTTCATGCTTTCAGATCATGCCACGGTTCTGGCTCCCACAGAGTGTGTTCGTGTGGAAATCAGTTACAGATTCTCCTGATCTCAACTTGTTAGATGTAGAAAGCACACCTTTGCACAGAATCTTCCATTCCCACCTTCCCACCACCGTGGAACCTCCATCCCTCAGCCAGGACACTGAAGATGGTCATGGATGGGTGTTCTGGCATGAAGCACATTAGGGTCATGGAGTGGACTAACCAGTCTCCAGACCTCTATCCTTTCACAAATCTGTGGAAGAAGCTGAAAAGTTGAGTCGCCAAGCAGCAGCCAAGAAACCTGAAGGATTTAGAGTTTCTGTAAAGCACCAAACTCCCTCCTGAGATGTGAACCGACCTGCCCCCACTACAAGAAACAAACACTGCGCTTTCCAACAATGGTTTTTCCAACAAGTACTAAGACAGGTTTTCTTTATTGAACTGAGTGACATGAACAAAACTTTTGGTTGATATTCTGTGTCTGTAAATTAAAATGAAAAAATATTCTTTTCTGCTCATTTTTTTGTCTCTGGCAGTTTTGTTAACGGTGTTGACAATTAGATGAGAGTTAAGAGTAAGAGGGGAGAATAAGAAAGACACTGGACACAGGAAGTTTTGTTTTTTAAGTTTTGCACTGACAAATCTAAAGGAGAGGTTTTTGGACACAAACATTTGTGATGTCGAGCCAGTTAAAACGAATAAACCAGATGGGTGTGACGCCATCTCACCGATCATGGTGGACAAATGTGAAAAATGCTGCCTTAAAGGTCTAAACTCATCATCGCTGATGAGTCCAACCCCAGGCTTAAAACTGGTTTGTTTTACTTTACTGATTTTACCCAAGTCAGGGTTCAAAGAAAATACCAATTGTAACCAACAGAAAGTGTCAGAAACTATTCATGATATTCCCCAAGAAGTCTGTTCAGGTCTTCTATCTTCGTCTACGATGATTTGGTTCATGGGAGGCTTTAACCTGTCCCAGCTGATGCTGGACAGGAGGTGGGTACACCCTGAGCTCCATATAATGACTAACAGTGAGTAAGAGGCAACCACAGGTCACACCTACAGCAGTTTACAATAACTAAAACTTGCTGTACATGTCTTTGGACTGTAGGGTGAACCGGAGAGTTTGGATAAGCAGAACATCCTACAAGCCACAATGCTAACCAGTGCTGAGGGAAGTTTTCTGGGGAACGCCACGCCTCTGAGCAGTGATACACCTGAAAAAAAGTACACAGGGTCAGCAGTATTGTCTATATCTTGTTTATTTGTGTTTGTAAAACGTTATTTTTGCATTTTTGCACTACAAAGAGGCTGAAATTGCTCAAGCTGCTGAATCTGTAACCAGGCAAACGTTGCAATTTTCATCCAGTTTAGCTGCTATACTTGGATGGATCATCTGACTGTATCTGAGCTTTCCAAAACCAACAGTCTGACATGTTGTATGAACTTGCTCATTTAAAGCACGCTGCAAACAAAGCGTCTCCTCGATGATCTAAAAGCTTCTGAAATGATTTACAGAGGTGGCAAAAAGATGTGATGTAACTTTCTCTCACTCCTTTAAAACAAATACAGAAACTTCACAGAGTGAAGTGCGATTACACCAGCGGGAAACACTGAAGCTCTCAGAGAAGCGAGAGGGAGAAAGTGGATGCAGCGATGGTAAACTTTTAACGCCACCACTGGGATCATGTAGCAACACGTTCTCTTTAGTCGTGGATGATAAATTTCAAGCATACAGAACTCCTAAAGTCTATGGAAGCCCGTTTCCGCCACTAAAAAAAAAAAAAAAAGGATCCATAACTCAAAATTTCGAGTTATTTTCTCAAAATTTCGACATATTAACTCGAAATTTCGATTTATTAACTCAAAATTTTGAGAAAAGCAACTCGAAATTTCGAGTTAGCGCTGCCAATCAGTAATCTACGTGAATGACATCATTTCCTTGTTATGGATACTAGCTTTTTTGTTTTTATTTAGTGGCGGAAACGGGCTTCCATAAAAGTCTGTCAAGATACATCCACAGCTGAAGTATGAGAGTTTGTTCTCTTCAGCTTTTTAACTGTACCGGGAGGTGTTGCCATGGAAACACAGTTACATTTAGTGCTTCTTTGAGGCCCGGCGACCTCGTTGAAGACAAAGAAGATTTTTGTCTTGCGCTATTTGCATGTTTGCGTCGATTTCCTAAGAGCTATGTTTGGACATTGGGGCGTTGTTGGTAGTAACAGCCACCTGCATGCTGCTGTAGAGCTAGCTTATTAAAACATTATTCTGTTAAACTCGTAGTGGTCAAAACTTCCACTCAGTACAGTCTCTGTCTGTAGATATATTTACATTTTGGACCAGTTGTTACGATCTTGGCTAACTTGGCCACAGTCGTTATCAATGTGAAGTCATTCTTTACCTGCTCTGTCTGATTATTTGGCCTTAAGACGTCTACTTATACCAAAAATATTTAGCAGAAGGAGCTGTGTGTCATGTCTTCTGTTGATGGCAGAACAGACTATGTAACAACGCACAGAAACAGATAATAGGGAGAAGGCGTTGGTTTTCTTACATATCCTATAAAAAGCACATGCTGAGAGAAAACTTGCTAACGATGTGAGAACAGGCAGGAAAATATGCAACGCCTAGCAAGGTTTCAGAGTTGTATGACAGGAAATCAAAGGAGACTATTTCTGGAGAGTGCAGGAGAAGAAGCAGTGCGATCCTGTCCAGGTGAGGCTGGAGGAAGGTGGGGTCTTTTTTTTTTGGAGTCTAAAGGTTCCTCTCCAGAAGGACGCTCTTTAAGTCTGCAGGGCAGTTGATGGTGAAAACGTTGTGGGCGGTGTTCCGTCTTTCGATCAGGGCGGCAACAGCCTCGCCCAGGTCCAGATGATTGAGGAAGCCGGGCGCCATGTGATCAGGAGTGGCTACACCTGTGTTAATCTTCACCTGTCAGAAGAGAAGAGGAGAGGAGAGGGGCTGAATGCAATAGAGGGATGACTGTAGGATGTAGAGCAGGTCGTCTACTTATGTCGGGGTTTGTGCTTCGAGCTTTGGCTCCTCCTGTCCTCATAAAACAGGTTTCAACCTCTGAGTTAAAGCTGTGGGGAGATTAGTCAGCGTCCTGTGAGGAAGCACTGGTAGTAAGATCAAGTTTTAGCTGTGAAATGGCTCATCCAATCATCTCACAACTCACAAGTCCCTGTCCACTTCTCAACAGTTTCCAAAGGCGATTTCTGAGATGTACGAAAACATCTGGTGCATCAGGTTCGGAGACATCGTGGAGGTAGAGACGAGCAGTTCATCTAGTTTGTCAGGCGTAATTAAAAGATCAACTTCTCTGATCTTATACAGGAGATCAGGTAAAGTTTTGATTAATAAGGGCTGATTTCATCAAAGTTGTTTTTCTATCAGCCAAGTTCACGAAGCTTTTTGCATATTCCTGACTAAATATGCATGTTTGCACAAAGGCAGAAATATGCACATGCACTATTTAGATAAAATGCCTGATTAACTTCTGTCATGCAAGATTACAGAATAAGGTTATGTAATGTGGATGTGTTGAAATGTGAGCTGGTTCTCACAAAGGCATCGAGGAAGAACTGAATCTGCATGGGTGGTAAAGTGGTGTCAGTATTACAGATTTCCCCCGAGTGAGCAAAGGCCAAAGAAATTCAGGGCTGTGCGTGTGAACACTAGAAAGCAGAGAGAATTACATACGTAGATGATTGTGGAGGCAGGCATGTGAATTGAGCTGTGAGCTGACTTCTTTTGGTCAGGTCTAAAGGGTCATGAGTCATGTTAGCCGACTCTGTGCAGTTTATCTGAGGCCCTGCTGTGCAATCCCATTAATATCTCACCTGGTTGAGTTTGCAGGGCACCTCGGGGTACTCCTCACGGAGGACATGGCAGAAAGCCAGGGTGCTGGCAGCGCCCACTGTGAGGAAGCCTGTACCAGGCATCAGCAGCTTCTCTCCTGCTCCTCCTGTGGCAAAGCAGCAGAACACTACATAAACACACCAGGAATGCAAGGCGAGCAGCTATCGCAGGTGACCCTGCACGAGAGGCAGGGCACACCCACGGACGCAGTCTGTCAGAGTCGGAGAACATGCAGTGAGTAAAATAACATGGCAGCTGTTTTGCTGACCCCAAGTGGACAGAGAGAATAAAGAGAGAAAACCAAACAGCTCAGCCAGACTAAAAACTTCTCTCATCCTTTTGGTAAATTTGAATCTGAATCTATCGTTCCAAAGATGGTAATGCTACCATCCAGCTACCACTAACCACAAACAGTCTCCATGCTACCCAATCACTTCTGAGCAAAGTCACAGAGAGAGAGAAGAAGCATCGGTGAAGCAGAGCTCAGCAACGTTGCCCTGAGGTCTGGCAGATGCTACCTCAGTACTACTAGAGAGAGGCAGAACAAAGGCAAAGTAGCACTGCGCCACACACGAACCGCCTCATCCCACTGAGCAAACACACGTCTTCACTACAGGACATAGGCGACATCAGCAATACGACTGCGTTTCTCTGTAATGTGGACGTCGTGGCGACGGAGGGTGCTGTCTGCGATGCCTCACCTGTGATGAACGTATAGGTACAGTTGGAGTCGTCCCTCACCAGGGGGTAGAAGGCCTTCCATGACACAAATGTGCTGAAAAGCAACGTCTCAATTACCTGCAGATTTCACAGGAAAGAAAACATCACAGCACCCCAATGACTCCTGCAAGTGTTTACATGCTGCATGAGTTTAAAGTGAGGGAGAAGAAATTAAATAAGTATATTGGAAAGTGTGTGTGTACTGACCCAGTGTAGATCTTTGAGGGACTGGGTGTGTGGGGGTCCTCCCTGCCACCAGCTGAAGCCCAGAGAGGAAACTATGTCGGTGACTTTCCCCACCTCCTTCAGCAGGGCCTGCTTCGCCTGCTCGGCTTCCTCCTCTGAGCCTGAACACAGAGACGCTGGACTTCAGGAGAGGACAGGCAAACTTGTTTTCTCTAATGAATCACTGAGATCGGCATCGATATAGAACTTCAGCCCTACTGGGGAATAACAAAACATCGCAGTAGAAGATAAACACCTTCCTCACCTGCTGCTGTGATGTCATCTCAACTATCACTGAAGTTTTCTTAATAATGTTTGGTGTGTTTATGGGGTGTAAGCCCTGTCCATACTAGAAAAAATACAGGATTTTTTTTTTGCACCACCACCTAATAAATCAGCAGCTGAAAACAATAATTTGACTAAATCTGAAAATAACAAATCACCATTAACGTTCCTTTTTGCACAGGACGCACACTTGATAGGTTACGGCAGAGGTGGGCGTCGCTGATGTTCGTTACCCAAGGTGCAGTCTTTTGCTAAACCCAAACAAGCAGTTATCAGGTCAGTAAATCATTTCTGAGACAGTCGCTAAGATGCACACAAATGATGACCGAAGAAATGGGAACTTTATCACATTGTACGGTGGAGGATTTGTACTTGAATACAAGCCCACAGACTTCTGAGACAGGAGGTCGGTTGGGTTTAATCCCCCCCTCTCACTACCACTGTGCAATTACAGCAGTTTGAAATGTTCTAGTTAGAGTTTGGTGTCATGTCTCTAAGCTGATTATTCAGTACAAATACGAGGGGACGAACCAGCAGGCGGTGATGCAGGGCAGCACTGACATGTCAGAGGCTCAGATGGAAAATTCTGCAGCTTAAATTGGCCGCCAAACAGAGAGGGTGTGTTTGGTGTTGGACGTGAGGAGAGGCAGGCGTGTTGGTGTGCCTGAGGTTGCCTGCCTGAACTAGCTCACAGGCTTTGCACCATTACTGCTCTATGAGCAGTTGGAGACTGTGTGAGTGAACGAGTGCAGACTCTTTTACATTTTCATGCAAGCTGGACGACCCGAGTCTGAAATAAGAATTTACAACATCAGCTCCACTTGGCACAAATTTGAAGGGTCACACTGGAGTCATAGGAAATACCTGAGAGTGTGTGATGATAACAAGAACTCATTACCAGAGAGTGCACATGAACAACTATGGTGAATGTTCCTGAAGCTTTGCTTTTTTACCTGTAAAGTTCAGACTTCTAAATGATGAATTCGGTTCATGCAGCTTCGCTTTAACCTGCATGAACCGAACTCTAACTTGCGGAGTGTGAACTTGCACAAGACGCTGTCTGCCCTCCATTACTGAGCAAACGGTGGAACGTGCCAATTTGGCAATTTGGGCTTTAGTCCAAGCTGAACATGCAGACTGGAAAAGCCAGGATTGAACCACCCACCTTCTGATGAGTAGATGATCAGCTCTAACTCTCACCTATGGCCCCACAGAAAGTTAGTAATGAGGAGTGCCAGGAGGAGTGCCTGGAGTTCATTCAGGTGATGTGGCTGAAACATAAGTACTGCCTCTACACCCTTATTCCTGAGCTCACTGTTAAAAAATGGCGCAAAGAGGTTTTTGAGTATTTTCTAAAGATAGCTCATACACACAAACAACCTGATACTAAGAATGATGGTAAAATGAGATTTTCTCATCAGAGTTGGTGACCATCTTGGAAATAAAAACAACCAAAACAGAAAATCAGTCCTTCATTTTCAGATCTCTAACCGGCTTTCTGATAAAAGAGTAAATGAGCCAGTTATGGTGCTTGTATCCACCTGAGAAAGGTTTCCCTGCAACATTAAGTTCACTGCTGCACTACATGTGAGGGTTTCTACCGATTTAGTGCAGCTCTGGTGCAGTATGTTGCCACTCCCATACTTTGCAGGCTCTCTTTTGCACAGTTTGGATTTGTATTTAAAGTGTTTGCCGGGGAGGAATCAGTAATTATGCGATAAGGGCTGTGGACAAGCGCAAACAATCCTCAGAGCAGAGACGGGCAGGATGAGTAACCTGACTTACCCACATTTCCCACTATAGTGGTGAGGTTATCCTTTGTGTTGGGAGAGACAAACGATCGGAGTTTCTCCAGGCGGCTGCTGTCCCTGGAGATCACTGCAACTTTAAAACCTTGACACACAAACACACAGAGACCTTTAATACAGAGACAGTAGGATGGAGTGAACCTGTGTTGTTGTGCTGCTTCTGTCAAGGTCATCAGAAAGTGAAATCTGACCGGGATGTCGACAATAACTTACTGCTCAGTTCAAACAAAGAAGCTGTGAGCATGCAACCAATAAACTCTCATCTCAGCTTCTTCCTTCCTGGAGGCACAGAACGGTAAATGCCCACAACAGATTTCAGCTTTAAGAACACAACAGAATCCAAACAGGGATGAAGCTGAACTGAAATTATGCTCTTTTAACTCTCGCCATAAACTGTAATTTAGTTTAAGATGATGATGATAGGAGTTCAGATCAATTTAGATATGATTTTATGAGACTGTGCTGATAAAACCACCCACACAGCAATCCCAGATATGACAAAGCCAAACTGTACAATGACACACACAACTGCCTGAGAATGTTTATTCTGTCTTTACTGTTCCAAAGATTTCCTGATGGGACATGCTTTTATTGACAATGAAGCATTATTATGAGAACTCCATTGTGTCATATTGGTAACTCCCCCTAAGTCTTGATTAAAGGAAGATTAAAGGAGCCTGTACAGTAGGCTGAACAGCCTGTTGTTTTTGACACGTCTATGATTATTAATCCAACATTTTATTATCAACTATAAATCATCTGTGTTGCAGTTTAGTTTTATGAGAGTGGAAGGGGATTTTTGGTCGATCAGTTGTCACATTGCGCGCTCAATTTTATTTTTACCCTCATAAAAATGTGATAAGCGGACCTGTCGGTGTAGAGCGTGGCATAGAAAGCCCAATACAGTGTTTTACGCACGCGGGCGGATCACTTATGGCGGGTCATTATTTAATTGTCTAACAATTCAGACACAATAAAACAATAATAAGTATAAAGTATAAATAATTAATAATTGTATTTATTAAAAGTGGCCATACCGCACAAAAATCCCCGTAAAGTGTTTACAGTGCGGTTTATAATGATGGAGTTCCTCACGCGTAAAAGCCAAGGGGAAAGACACCTGCGCGTAAAAACGCATAGATGTCCCAAAGATTTATCACATTAACAATTCACTGTCCTCCTCTATTTCACTCAGTTTATTTTCCCTGCCAAATGTCCTTCGAGCTACAGGGAAGCTTACCTTTATCCAGCAGTCCTTTAACGATCCCGGAGCCCACTTTTCCCGCTCCTCCGAGAGCTAACACAACCCTGTCCGAGTTCGACATGCCGACTGTAGCTGCACAGACCTGCTGGAGGATGGAGGGTGGAGGATGACTCTGTCGATGCGAAGTGAAGCTGCTGGCTTGTGCAGAGCATCCTGGCCGGACCGGGATGCTTTAAAGGATCACGGGTCCGCCCTTGTCTACGGGGTCACTGAAGCCACGCCCATACTCTGTGTGTATGTGTATCCTGGCACGGCTAAATTTGAAAGGACCGGTGGAGAGATTTAAATGTGGGAACATGTACTGAGCGTGAGGGCACCTTTCAGGGGTGAGGATAAATTCAGATCTGTGACCATTAATTCAGGCAGTCAGTTTATTGGCTCGATGACCAGTTTAAGTTACTACTGAGTTCAACATAATATTGCACACAATGATCTAGAAAGGTGGTAAAGCAGCATATGCGCCATGATGGGCCTGGCTGTTCATTCATAAGTACACCGCTTTGTGAGTGTGCAGTCAGGTCTGCCCCGTGTGTGATGTCAGATTGTGGCAAACTAAGATGGGAGCAGCAAAAACATTCATCTCAAGGCTTCACTAAAAGGTTTCTGTAAACCAGAGATTATGGTTACATCCATCTGTTATATACAGTCTATGTTAATCTGAACTCTGCACCAAATGGGCTCAAAACAAACAAAACCCGGAAAGTGTTACAAGATTTTGACAGAGAATTTACAGCCTTGATTGGGACATTCTGTGACCTCTTGTCACTTTGGGTAATGCACTTGTGGTATATTATCAGGAATTATATTTCGTTAGTGCAATACATTTATACTTTTCTCACAAATCTATTGCTCAGAACTAGATATAAACAGAAACACATTAAATCCGCCCTAAAAACAACCACAGAACAAATACTTTTACAGTTTATTTGTATAATGTATGGATATGTTCCCATCGCACCAGAAAAACTCTGCTAAAGAGTTTAAACTAGCTGCTCACCTGTGATCATGTCAGTAAACGTCCTCACAAAGACAGGAAGACGTGTGTTTGTGTGTCTGCGTGTGCCGTGTCAGTGGTTCATGCAGAGGTGAGGCTGCCGCAGCAGGTGAAATGCTGCCATCTAGTGGCTGAAACTACACGCAAGAAAACTGTTGATTTAATCGATTTATTCGGTAGCACACTTTGCAGCTTCTTCCTGTTTCCACCTTTTCTGTATTTCAGCCCGTTTTTACATCACTTTTCTTTTAATTTAAAGTAATTGTTCCACTGTTTCCACCCACCTAACGGCACATCCAGGAACAACTGCCAAACACACCCTGTATAAACTGGAAATCCCGTGCCACGTGACAATGTTTACGTTACCCAGATAATCGAGTAGATTGTCGTGTGGCCGGACTCGCCAAAACAGCTGATTACGTGCCAGGAACAGGTGAGTCTGTGTGTCAGACACGTTTTATATCGAACAAAGCCAGACTCGCCCACCTGTAGCCAGCTGCGTTACGTTTGCTTCGCATACCTACGAACATACCTTCATGTTCTCTCAGTCCGAGTTTTCCTACAAATTATACCGGTTTTCTATTGCCTCGCGCTTTGGCTTAAAAACACACATTTTAAAACTTAAATCGTTACGTTTACAAGTTTATCGGGAGCGTACGTGTAATTCGGCGTGTTTTCAAAACGACATAAATGTCTTCTTAATATGAAAAATGTACATCTTCCTTGGGGAGGTTCAGCCGCTTCCTCGCACTTCCTGGGTATTTTCCCACACAGACTGAGCCTGACATCACACTGGGAGGTTGATAAAAGTTGATTTCGCTTTCGTCGACGGATTATATGTCGGCCGAACTGAAGAACAGCTCGGTACCAAGCTTCCCTGCGCCACTTCACCGCAAACTGGGTAAAGTAAGGAAAACAAGCCGGTTTACAATGTGCGGGCGGCGGGTGCGTTCACTGTCCGACCCGTAAGTTCTCTTGGGTAACTAACGTAGTAGACGCGGCTAAGCTAATGCTAAGTGGGGCTGTTAAAAAAAAAGGTTCTCGTTTTTCTCGTTGATGAGCTTGAAGTTCCCAGATGTTCCCTGAAAACACGTTAAAGTTTGGTAGATGTAAAAAAAAACAAAATGAGTCAACTTATTTTCACTTATGGTAAAGTTTCACTTTCGTTATTAACATGTGCTCAAAACGAGTCGCAGCTGATACAGAGTGTGCTATTTAATGAGGCTAAAGGTCGAAATGTTTTATATTTCCAGTGGCCACAGTTACGTCAGCATGTGCTGCAGACATAGCAGCAGCCTGGAAAACACCTGTGTGTGTGTGTGTGTGTGTGTGTGTGTGTGTGTGTATTTAACTTTAGTCACACTGTAACTCTTTATTGAATAGTTACTAACAGAACAGAGAAATATAGTCAATCCCATTGGAGTGAAATGAGGTGGAATTCAATTCATAGGACACTCCCTCAGTGACATCCGTTGCCAGTGGGCACTGTTAGGTTGATGCACAGCAATAAGAAAAAAAAAAGGTGTGACTCAGTTATTAGGATCATCTTGGTTTATTTTTGTCTCTCTCTCTCTTATAAATGGATGAAAGAGATGAGCTACTCCCGGAAGAGAGACGTAGATCTCACGGGCGCCTACGATCGCAGTTTGGAGCGTCAAATCGTGGAACAGGGCTCGAGCCTGCCGTGCAGAGATGAGGAGCTGTGGAGAAAGGTGGAGGGACTTATGAAGGAGGGAAATGCTCAGGAGATCCACTGCCTGGGTGTGGATCCACTGAGGGTGATGGAGGAGTCGCTCAAGGCAGTCACAGCAGTTGGATGGAGCAGACAAGTTGGAACCAGAGGAGGCCTGCAAGGCCTGGCCAAAGCCTTTGAGGTGCTGGAGCAAGCAGCCTTGAACCTGTACCTGGGTCCCTGGAGGAAGGAGTACACTGTAATCCAGGTGGGCCAGAAGGAGAAAAAAGTTCACGTGTTAAAATAATCAAATGTGATTTTAAAGTTTCACATTTTGTGTCCCAGATGTACTCCGGCACGTTCACGCATTACATCACCCCGGTGCTGTCGACGGCTCAGATCGAGAACCTGTTCAACCTGTTGGGCTACGAGCTCAACGCGTCATCATCTGAGCAGCTCCATCTCCAGACGCACAGAGTGAACTCCACCTCTTCGGATACCCTCCTTCGTTTGTCTTGCGCCTTCTTCCTGGCCCGCTGCGAGTGCCACTTTCTTACAACAGCGCTGGGGAAGCACTGCGGTGACACCCAGTGGGAGCTGAGCGCAGTGATGGAGAGGCAGCGAGGAAACGGCCTGCAGGTATGTGACGCTGATGCTGAGATCTTTTGTTTGTTTGTTTTTTTTCAGCCTTGGTGCAGCCAATCGCTTCATTGTCTGCCTCAAGCAAGCTGTTTTTAACTTCCACCCTTTAAAATCTTAAACGTTCCTCACTAACCCACTAATCTTGCTTTGTCGTACTATGTTTGGTCCAGGAGGGTGTACTGTGAGGCAAAATGTTTAGCAAAGAAAAGTGTCAATTGTATGATTTCTTTCTTCCTGCTAATAAATGCAACAGTAGGATATGAAATGCCTTAATTGACTTTATTACTTATACCTCCCTACAGGTTGCTGTGGAGAACACCAAGAAGATGCTGGAGGTTGGCGAGGCCCTAATGGAGCAGCCCGATGGAGACGTGGATCTGTACACCGATCCGGTTAATGAAGGGGACCCGCAGATGGTTGTCAACAAGGAAGAGAGTCCCTGCTCATTCATCTGGACGACAGCGGACAACGTATCACCCACCACTGTCAAAACACACAGCAACGGAACAACAGCATCATTCCCACCGCGAGAGTCGCTCACCGGCAGAAACTCCGCGGACAGCAAGAGGCCAAGCTGGCGTTCCCCTGGTGCTACGAGGCTGGGTGAAACAAACTCTGAGCCTCAAAGTCTGCAGGTAGATCCAATCGAGGCTCTGAAGAGCGAGGATGGCGACCACAACCTCTGCAGGTGCGTCCAGAACTCAGATTCTTGTTCTTACTGCTCTGAATGCAAAACCCTGCACGATGAGACCTGTGCAGTCCTTAAGATTTGCAGAAAGAATCTCCACAACGTGAAACAAGTGAAGAAAATGCAGAGTGGAGGCCTCAGATCACCCACTCTCACTGGCAGCAGTGCAGCAGTGAGCTCCTTACCTCTGAGTGAAGACCCCGCATCAATAATTGCTCTCCCTCCTGCCATCGCCTACCACGAATGCTGCGATCTCAACAATCCAGACCCTCAGATCCTGTGCCACAAGTGCAGAGTCTTCCACTTGAAATCCTGCAACGTGGCGAAATCCTGCCAGTCACTCCATCACAGCACACAGCTGGGAAAGTGCTCCTCCTGTAAAAAGTGGTGCTCCAGAAAGCCTCTGGTCCTGTGCAGATACTGTGGAAACGAATATTGTAGTGCCTGTTGGTTCAGAAATCCGCTTGCATGCAGCTGTGGCCAAACATTTGACCAGTCAACATCTGTGTGATAAAGGTCCGAAAAGCTTTGCACTTACGAGATGCATTTAGCAAAAGTTACAGTGACTTAAATCTGCGTACTGGAACTGAAAACGCTGCCTTGAAGTTCTGCCATTGTGCCATTTATTTGATATTTGCATGTAGCCTCGGTGTGGTGTGGTTTTGCGCTCGCAGGTCGCTTTGCGGTAACTCGTGACGCAAAAGCAAGTGTTTTATGTTTGTGTCCTGCAGTAAAAGGGTCAATGTGCCATTAAAGTGTACGTGTGGTAAACGTGTGTAACATGGGATGAATTGGCGTGATCACCGCGGTGTGGTGGGTATTATTTAATATAAAATCAGTCACAGCATTTAAAATGTAATTGCTTCATAACTAACACTAAGAACCTTCATTTTTCTGTATTAGAGAAGTTTTCAAAGATTACTTTTTGGCAGGTTATGTGGCTTTCCTTCTTTCTTTTTTTTTCTTTTGTTGTAATTTGCTGTGAAAGGTAAAAACAGCTGAAACTAACGTTTGTTGTAACTATGAAATTATTTTCTCGAGGAATCATTTGGCCGAGTGCTGAAATCTGCTTGTTTTTGCCTTTAAGGTGACTTCACTGTTGTCTAAAGCACATTTTCTGAAATGTCAGTGGCAGCTGGAAGCTTTGTTTTCCTAGCTTTTCCACTGTCGCCTTAATGCAACATCTCAGGAACACTTTAAGGGAGTCTTTCCACGTTTAGGACAAACATTTGTTTACACCAAATGATTTGTCAAACTGCATTGTACTCTGCTAATGCTGCAATGTAGCCTGACATGCACCCTTCCCAGAAATGTAGCTGCACGGCACAGCAGCGCCGACCTCGGCGGCGGTCATGCGTCTGTGTGATATTCATACACGGTGCAAAAACAAAAGGATAACACTTCTTTCTGTAAAAACCTTTTGTAACCACCGGTCAGCCTTCTACCAGAAACTTTTCCTGCACTAATTCACTGAGCGTTATGTTTACTTCTGTTTGAAATGAATTTGTGTTGCTGTCTTTAAAGACGTCTTGTAACTAATCCGAGTCTGTTTTTTATAACCATTCCTGCTGTTGTACTGTGACAGATGCTGCGTTAGCACATAGTTACTAATGTTAGAATATCTCATGATGACTGAGGGCAGATTGGACTTTGCATCATCTCGTGGTTCAAAGTGATATTATATCTATTTGTTATTGGGGTTTTTTTGGAACCAAAAATGTTCATATTTGGACAAAGATCACAGTAGCCAGAGCTTGGTGCTGCTTCGTCCTTTTTCAGGTGCTCAAGCACTCCCAAATGTCTTCACAGCACACTTAAATAAACTATAGATATAGTTGTAATAATGTTTTTTAGGATCATTTTTTCTGATATTATATTTTGCTAACTCATCTACAGCAGCCAGGCTTGTCCAGTGGTGTTGATGTCATGATGTTACAGTGCTCTCACATTGGTGCCGCTGCTTTAACAGCAGATGACATCATGGATCGACTCGTTTTTGGAACCGGCCCCCAGTGGCCACTAGAGAAACTTCTGGCATTTACCCACATTTACTCTTAAATTTTTAAATGCCTGAGAATGAAGTTGAACACAGTCAGGCTTTCTTTGCCTTAGCTGACTCAACAAAACCTGAAACCTCAGTTTGAGATATGAAGGAAAAACACAATGGTTAGCCACTTTGCTAAGCTAGCCTTTTTGTTTCGGATTTGATGCGTGCTCACATAATAAGGGGCAGTTTGTGGGGTCATGTGACTCCTCCCTCCACATAATGATCCTTGTGAGTGTCCCCTACTCCAGCGGTCCCCAACCCCCGGGCCTTGGACCGGTACGTGAGTCGTTTGGTACCGGGCCGTGAGAGTTGAGGCTCAGGTGTGAAATGTCTGGTTTTCAGCGTTACTTTGTTATCGTTAGCTCGGTTTTCCTGGGTCTTTTCACGTGTGTTATGAATAAATCTTTTTTTCGGTACTGGTACTAGTTTTATTTCTTGTATTTATCCGCAACACCTTAAAGGCCGGTCCGTGAAAATATTGTCGGGCATAAACCGGTTGGAGACCGCTGCGCTACTCCAAACAGGGATGTTGTCAGAAAATAAAAATATAACAGTAAAATGCTAAACTGTTGAAAGTTGGTGATTTTTGCACATTTTAATTCAAATTCAGTTCATTTTAAACTGAAACTCCGGTTATGTGTTCATCATTACCACGGTGGTTTAGCAGTTTGAGAAGTTTGTGACACAGAAAACTCCTTAAGCTTGACAAAGCTGGCTAAATCATTCATCTTGCTTCGTACCACAGCCCTCAGGTATCCTGTAGACAAAAAACCAGCTTTCATAACTTCTACAATTAACATTTTAATGACACAAATAATTGCTTATGTGTTGAAAAGCAGTTTCCACGCTTTATAAGGTAGCAATATTTTAGCCCACATCAGTGTTTTGGTGTTCCAGCTGTTGGAGCCTTTTAACTGAGTCCTGCCCAATCGTATCCTTTCTTCACTATGATGGAAGGCAACAACATTTAAAGATCCATTCTGCATCCTTTCAGCATTTATTGTCAAAGTACAGATCTGTGGTCCACAGAAACCAGAAGACACGTTCACATGTGCATCGCCAGTTAGCCAGTCTGCCCTGAGCAGGTGTTCACTCTATTCGTTGTGTGCCTGCCAGTTGATATTAATGAAGGTCTTTGTGTCCATGCGGTCGACGTAGAGGACGCCGTCCAGGTGGTCCATCTCGTGCTGGACGATCCGGGCCGACCAGCCACTAGCCTGCCACGTTACAGCTTCGCCATTTTCATTGAGACCTGCAGGGTGAGAAGACAGAAGCCCGAGACAAAGGCACACCTTACAAATGTGGACACTCTTAAATGAGACGTGTCACTGTTGAGCTTTAAGCATGCGTACCAGACACTTCCACAGACAGGTAGCGGGGAACCGTGGCAGAGAAGCCCGAGATGCTCTCACAGGCCTCCTGAAACAGCACCGTCCGACCATCCAGCACCCTCAGCTGTGGGTTCACAAAGATCCTTAGGGGCTGGACGGAGAGACCGCGGACCTCCCTCGTGGCAGGCGAGCTCTCTTCAAACATTTTTTGGGGATATTCCAGAGCCAGGATCCGGAGTGGCACGCCAATTTGAGGCGCACTCAGTCCCACGCACTCAAGCTTCCTCATTACTGCCACCATAGTTTTAATGACACGCTGGATCTCAGGTCCTGTTACAGCTGAAGGGTCCACAGCAGCTGCATGTGAACGCAGCACCGGGTCTCCTACCTGACACACATGGCTGTACGGAGGACTGGGGGGAGATATGATCTTGCGTTTGACGTACTGCAGGTAGGAGCGCACTTTGACGTTGCTGGATAAGGAGCGTCTACAGGGTGAGGTGTGTGGAAGACGGGTGGAAGCTGCTGCCATCAGGCTCAGGGCTCCGGAGCGATGGCCTTTAGATGCATACAGTCTGAGCCCGGTCCAGGAGAGCTGGAGCAGAGACACTGAGGACGTGTTCATGGTGGGACTGAGACAAAGAGACAAAAGGAGGCCATTTAGGTCGGTCAGAGAAAGCAAAGATATCTTTTGACACTTTGTTGACTTCCATCAGTAAGAAGGTTTAAAATACTGCTCATTCCTCTTCTTTTAAGAGGTCACCACAGATCATCACATCTGCCACCGCATCTCTAGCATCCCCATGCCTGTTTTTTGTTACTGCCACCATCTCCAAACCATACAGCAGATCTCACCACCACCTTCTAAGCCTTCTTTTCAGTTGCATGCTTTCCTTCTGTCATAAATCACCACTGACACTCCCCTCCACCCACTCCACCCTGCCTGTACGCTCTTCTTCACCTCCCTGTGTACTGTACGGGCATTTAAACTCACCGATCTCCTCCTCTCATTCACACAGGTAACCATACAAATAAAAAATAAACTGTGATGTCTGAAAAACTAAAGAGGCCGTAACAACACTGCTAAACTGGTAATGGTGCCGTCATGAAGAATAACAAAAAAACTCAATTTCCCAGATCGCACCTGTGTTTCCGAACCAAAACAAAGATGGCGGACACCGGCTAACACGAGAGGGCCGCAACTTGGAATTTTAAAAAAATATTTTTAAGTGTTTAGTGGACACCCTTTTTATTTTAATGACTACAACTAACACGTCCGGTAAGTCTTACGGCCTTCTATATTTTCAAGCATCGCCGTTTGATGCAGAGAGCTCGATGGTTAGCTCTGTCATTGAAATATAAGCTTATACCCAAGAGCTACAAACTGCTGCTAGCATTACCAGCCACCCTTGAACTTGTTTATATCGCCGCGCGATTTCTTACATCACGCTCTTTAATATTACCCTCAGCACACATCAATTAGAGAAACACCTGTTTAGCGTTAAGTCAGACACCACCTAGCGGTTTGTCCAGGTGCAACGAAACATGCGCGCCAGTTCAAGAGCGACCGTGAGCTGTTGAAGCTAGGTCGTTAGCATGTTGATGTAACAATGAATAAAAATAAAAAGTCAGATAACTGTCAGCACTGACTGAGCGCAACAAAAATGAAGCCTTGCAGCTTCCCGTTACCTCATAGAACCGTCTGAGCTCCGCTTTGGATTAGACAAGACCGCATAGTTTGGAGGGTGAAGTCAGGGCAGAGACATTCACGGCTCCGGTAAAGTTCTTCCTGGTCAACCACGCTTTCACAATAAAAGTCCATGTGCTTACCTATGTAATAGAGCAGCCCTTTTTTGTCATTGTGCATGTACAACGAAATATGGGCCAATTATGGCCAATAGAAAAGGCACACACGGGAGAACAAAGTGCTCAAAAGTAGTGCAAAGGACTTGATCTAAGTATACAGTGCATGTGTGAGTGAGTTACTCAGACCGTGGCTCGGATCAGATGATTGCATCACGTAAACATGTTTTGTAATAAAAACAAACAAATAGAATCAATAGACACATTTATTGGCTGCATAGATATTAATTATCATAGGAAATTAAATCTTATTAATTAATTAAATGTTTAATTTTAATTAAATGAAATTAAATGACTGATCTTGAGCAATTTTTATACAGTTAACTAGTTAGTTCAAATTTAATAACGTATAAACTTATTGAAGAAAGATGGGAACACCATAATATCCATCAGTTTATATCTCTATATATCCATATACTGCTTTAACATTTATTTCTCCTTTTTATTTCATATTGTACTGTGTTCAACTTTACAGCAGATTCATCTCAAACTGGTAAATGTCTGTTAGGCCTTTAAAGCCTGAACCATTAAATAGTTGACAAATAATAATGATACTTTTTATTTTAGAATCGAGTTGAATTGAATCTTCTCACAATTTAAAAAACTTGTAGTTGAGTTTTAACCCTTTAAAGCCAAGCATATCGTATTTGATACATGTGTTTTTGTGAGTTTTTGAGACTTCTACATCATCAGCGTGACTTTTTTTACCCTCAAAAAATGATATAAATTGCATGACACATTTTTAATTCCTAAATTGCAAACATATGGCTAATGTAGCAAATGTGATACAAATTAAAACTCATATATGCAGATTAAAATGTGATATATTTTTAGATATATTAGTCTAAAGGTTCAACAAACACTCCATTATCAAAAAACGAAAGATTTCTGGCTGTTATTTTATGGTTCAGGTTTTAAAAGGTTACCTGGTATCATGTTTGCTGAATCTTTGTGCAATCTATTAGTTTTTCGAGGAGGGAAAAAATAACACCGATGACGAAGTCTGAAAAACTCAAACATGAAGCAAATTTGACACACTTGGTGTTACAGAGAGAGACGGGGTTTCTTGCTTCCTAAGCTTTTATTTTGAAATGCTAAATAAAGGCATGCAAAGGAAGTTATTTGCAACATTTTTTTTTTAAAAAAAAAGCCGGGGATGTTCAGATGCGTGACATCCTCAACTTGCCGGTACATGTCCAGCTGTGGTGGTTCGGGGGTTTAAGGAGGTGCAGCGGGCTGATGCTCTCCTCCGTCTCCCTCCACACAGCCCGCGGAGCTGAGCCATGGACGGAGGGGAGCTGCGGGCTGGACGCATGCAGAGCTTCTCTAAGCTGCCTGTGTGGATCATAGAGCATGTCTGGACTCACAAGATGATGGATATACAACAAGGTTGGTTCTGGGGATTTTAATAAAAAGTTTTAACACAACAAAAACTTTATTGAACTCCTTTGTCTGAGTGTTTTTTATATTGATGTAGAAGAAACATATACATGAAACTTGCAAAGCTAATCTCAAACAGCAGAGATAAAGAAAGTCTTAGAAACAAATGTATTCATGCCTTTGCGTTTGCTTGTGACATGCTGGCTTCATTTTGTGTGCTCACAGTTTTGGACCTGTCCAGCTGGCCAGATGTGGACTCCCAACCTCTGAGCCTGGAAGACTCGTGGAGGCTGCGCGTCGTCTCTGCTCAGGTCTATTCCATCATAAAGAGCAGGGACCTGGAGCACTTTGAGAGGGTGATAGGGTTTCTGGAAACCACGTACCGACTTCTACCCAGACTGGTTCCTGCCATCAAACACATGAAGATCATGTTTGGCCTCAAGACCATGGTAGGGAAATAAGTAGTGGTCCAGTAAGCATGTACAGGAATGTCAAATGGGGTTGTTTCTTCGTGAACGTTCACCTCCTGGTGGTTCCTGTGTCTCCTTCCAGGTCATTATGTGGATGCTCAAAGAGGGCCGGGGAATGGTTGACACTGTGTCAAAAATCGGCCAGTTCTTCCCGAGCAAACTCCCCGAGTACCAAGACCAGTGTGTAAGTGACCTGCCCTGCACCGGAACTAACTGGAAGCCACTGTTGAACTGGTGGAGACCAAAACTGAGTTAAAAGTACCTGCCTTATATTATGCATAACTCACCGAACAGCTCCGAACCACTGGGGCACAAAGCCTCCGGGGGTGTCCTGTTGGGTCTGAGTGGGTTACAGGATCGGACTTGTCCTGGCACGTCCAGTCGGAGGCTTTGTTATGTTCATGAGCTTGTGTGTGCTGCTGCTGTCTTGTCCTGCTGAGGGAGGCTGCTACCTTTGAGCAGTGTTGTTGTCCGTTGGGGTGCGTTTTGTCCGCCGCGGTGTTTGGTTGGGTGGTAAAACATGTCGAGACCGAGGTTTCCCAGCAGAACTCAGCACTGGAACACAGTGATGGCTGTTGTTCACCTCACCTATCAATGATTTTATTATTGTGGCTGATTGAGCTCTCATAAATGTCTCATACATGTTGCATCGATTGTTTCCTTTAAATGAACCCCTTAGACATCAGGAAGAAAGATGGATGGATGGATACTTTTTGATCCCACATAGAAAATGATTGTGTTACAGCAGGATTAAGAATATAAATGATACATTTTTATAATAAATATTCAAGAAAGTTAAAGGAAAAGTTCAGATACCAGACAGGAAGCATCAAACTCTGGATGTCTTCCATAGTTTGTGGGGGGGTTTCCTGCCTCCCTCCACTCACCCCCAAACCGTTACTCAGATGGCCGCCCCTCCCTCAGTCTGTGAGGCTGGCTCTGCTGGAGTTTTCCTTCCCACTGTTGCCAAGTGCTCATACTGGGTTGTTTGACTGATGGAGCTTTCTCTGTATGTTGTCCTGACAAAATAAAGTGTTGTGAGGCGACTGCTGTTGCGATTTGGCGCTATATAAATAAAACTGAATCGAACTATTTGTTAGTTTTTGCCTCCTCACAGATGGCACACTGGTGGTGTGCTGTCATAGACTGTATATAATAGATGTACTTCATCGCTGTGACCTCTTTCAGTCCTCTTTCTGAAGCCTCGAGCGAGGCGCTTTTATTCTGTAAATAAAATAAATCGTGCATAACATTTTGTGTTGTTGCATATTGAAAAATGTGATAGCATACCTGGAATTGGCTTTTGGGAACAGTTACAGTTGCCTGCATGAAAAACTTTACTTATATCAACAGGTGATTCTATGTGTTCTGGTGTTTTTTGCACAGAGCCAACGAGAAATGTTCCTCATGAGGAAGAACCACCTGGACTTTAGGACTCTGGCGCAAACACTTGCTATGGACAAAGACAAACTTGAACATTACATTAAGGTAAATCTCCTGTAAGTGATTATGAGACAGATCCAGAATATTCTATATACATTTCAGTCCCAATATATTCATGGCCTACGTGATTCATGCACATTCAGCACATTTCTAAATCATACAGTTTGGGATTTGTTGGATAAAGGCATTGCAGTTTCCCCAAAGTTATGCTTTGAGACACAGTGCTGTTCACAATAATCAGTCGGGTTTGATCAAACCTCGAATGTTTGGAATTATCATAAAGGCAACCCTGCATGTATTTGTACAACTAGATTTCTTAGTAGAGAAAAACTCATCCCAGCTGGGCCAAAAATGAAGCGGTCCTAACTGTGGCCAGCAGGGTGCGCTGCAGAGCTACGATGTACAAAATCTTTCCGTGAGCTGCAGAGTCGTAGCGCTGCCAACCTGAAAAAGTGATCAAGCGTGGAGGAGCAGTAATGTGCTAGAACTTTGGACATTGGCTGCTCGTTCTCAGTCCTTGCACCACTTCCAGAGGAATGTTTTTTTTTACACTTAGCTTGAATCATTCAAGCAGTTTGACAGACATAAAGTCATATTTTTGCACCAACAAAGTGATTCCCAAACACGTCTTTCATGATTGCATGCTCAGTCATCCAGGTAAAGAAATCCCAAAAAGTTGATTCTGCCCATCTGGACGTAGAAACGGAGTGTGGCTCAAGACTTTTGCACTTATTATGCTGAATTTCATGGGATGATGCCTTTTGTCTGTCTTGCAGAATGACATGGACGAGCAGTATGGGGAACGGTATGCCCAGAAAGTCGAGGACAGGCTGCTGCATTATCTCCACGAGCTGGATGCTGTGTTACAAGGAGATACCTACATTGATAAGGTGTGTGTGTGTGTGTGTGTGCAGGGTTTAAAGATGCGTTTGTAAAAATGAGAGTTTGAATGTAGATAAACTGTCCCGTTGGCTCTACAGCGACCTCATGTGGTCAAAAACTCCACAAGTTTCCTTTAAGATTGTTGATGAGGGAAATGAAGAAGAGCAGAAATGCCAGCAGTGAGAATGTCTCGCTGTGATAACTGAACATTTGTGCTTCACTAGATCCTGAAGAAACAGAGCCCTGTGACTGAAGAGGAGAAGCTACTTTTAGAGGTGATAAGCTCTGACTCCACCACCATAGCTGCGACCCTGAAGAAGCTGCTGCACTGCGGTAAGAAACAGCTCAACATGAAAAGTTCACCTCAAGTTTACGTCATAAAAAGATAATAACTTTATATTTTATTGTATTTTAGGGTAGATTTCTTTAGCTTTGAGTCGTGGCTTTTACCATTTCTGCTGTTTCTTTTTATTTATGTAATTTTCTCCTTTTAAACTGTATATTTTTACTGTTAGGACACAAGCAGGATTCGATCTTTGTGTGAAATTATGAATATCCACTGCTATCAGTATCAAGCGTGTCGCTGTTCTCTTTCTTTAGATGCTGCTTCCTGTCGTCAGTCGTCGATATCTCGGTCGCCTCAACTCTTTAAGTCGGCTTTAAGCCAAACTAATCCAGATGTTCATCCAGAGGAGGCTCCTCGCGACGTGTCCGAAGACGGCTTCAGTTTTTCGGACAGGAGCTCAGACGTTAGAGGACATCAGCAACCAGAGGAGGAAGATGAGGTGAACAAGAGAGCGGAGGAAGAGGGCAGTCAGGGAAGCAGCACAAGTGTTCAGGAGGCGGCCCCCACCCCTCAGTTCTGCTCCAAACACCAGCGATGGGTGAAGAGCATCCTGCGGGGATGCTCGGAGGAGCTTCTCCTTCAGCCAAACGTTTCCTCATCTCCCCTGCTCTTCCCGTCGTCGTCTTCTACTTCTTCATCGCAGGACCTCACACCATCTGACCTCATCCCCTGTCCGTCCGATCAGCCACCTTCGCAGACCCCCAGCCCTCCTCGGGCAGCAGTCCAAGCATCCAGAACAGCAAAACCCAAATACAGGCGCAGCTCCGGGTCACTCGGATCCTCAGGCGACACCTCACAAGCACAAATTCTGCCTCAGGCCTCGTCTGCTCGGGGCTCTCCGCTGCCTGCTCTGCTGTCACCGGTGGTCCGACTGGTGAACATCGGCTCCTTCGAGACGAGCTGTAAACACCAGCAAGCATCACCAAAGCAGCTTCTTCTGGCAGCTTCTTCCAGTTCGGAGATGCTAAGTTCTCCACACCATCACACCTCAGGACACGTAAAAGACAAAAACAGTTCATCTCGCTCTGCCTGGTGTCAAACCCCGACTGAACAGAGAAAGCTCAGACGGGTCTGCAGTACCAACAGACACAAGGAGGATTTGGAGGCATTTGCTCAAACCCCCCAGCAGCTTGTTCAGGACCCAAGTACCTCTCAGATGGGTGTTCCAGCCACAGCCAGTGACATCAGTGTCTCTGGACCTCCTCAGAAAGGTGCTCAGTCAGAGAGTTTGTTCTCCGCCTGTGCTGCCAATCAAATCACACCATCTTCCAAGTCATCTAAAAAAGTCGTCCCTCGGAGCTCTCTTCGCCATCGTCAGCCACAAAAGAACAGCAGACCTCGATCAGGAACCGCCCAATGCTCCTTCTCTGCCGCAGGCAGGGACAAAACCAGCCGAGGCCTCAGAGCTCAGCTGAGGCTATCGCTGCCCAGTCAGGGTGTGCTGCTGCACTCCAAGCTGCTACAACCCTACGTGAGTCTTACCAGGCTGAGCTCTGAGCAGTGTCACCTATCGACCCGAAGGAAAGCCTCAGCCGGGCCGGAAGAGCCCGTGGAGCAAGGCAGCGACGGCGAGGAAGGGAGGATGCAAGAGGAGGAAGACTCTTCCTTCGATGTGAACGCTCTTTACTCCACTGATTCTTCAAGCAGTGACGGAGAGGAGTCACCTGACCGTGACCCTGATTATAGACCTCACATCAAAAAGAAAAGACTTCTGTTAGAGTATGAAAATGCGAGAGTGCTCAGTCACGGTGACAGCAGTTGAACTAATTTCTCCTACTCGAGTACTCGAGTTTTTAGAATATTTTTAGATGCCGCGTGAAGATACAGCCATCAGTGCTCATGATCTGCCTGTTCTTGTGAGCCAACACGGTTCCTCTACGCTAACTGAATGTAGATGTGCAAAACACAGAACATAGAATTGTTTTAAATAGATTTGTCTCCCTATTAAAATGTGAAGAAGGTAGCACTCAAACACGTTCAACGGAAAGGAAAGAAAAGCTTCTTGTAAACGTTTGTATGGTGCAGCTTTATTGTAGCAGGTGTGTATCGAGTGTTCGGGTTTATCATAACAGGTCTCTGATTATATAATTGAGAATAAACAACACAGAGGGGATCGTTGTGTTTTCGTAATGTGTTTTGTTTGGCTCCGTCAGCAGGTCCAACGTTTCAGGACTTTTACCCCACCTGGAAGTCCAGACCGAGGTAAATGTTTCTGATTATATAATTTCCACTTGCACAGCTAACTTTCCTGTTTTCACTTCACACGACATAAAAACAAGGATACGCTTTTTTTTTAACCGCCTATTAAATGTAAAGTTTTTCTCAAAACGTTCTCCAAGTGGGGAACCAGCTTCTTATAGAAAGCACACATCAGTGCAAACCTTTTCACTGAGCCACAGCACAGAGCACTGCTGTGTAACGATGTGCTCTAACTCTGATGGTCAAAGCTGTAAAATCAAGTTACACATGAGGGTTATCTTCAGTTTACACACAGTATAAAAGCTCAGGAAGCTTTGAGCTGATGCACAGGAATGCACTGTGAGGCTGCAGACTAAGAGAAGATAACGCAGACTGGAAGCTCGTCCGTTTGTTCAGATGAGGTGAAACTAGAGCTCGTTGGCCACAGAGACGCTGCTTATGTTTGGAGGAAGAACAGAGAAGCGTACAACCCAGTTGTATTCCCAGTTCTCATCTGGTTCCTAACACCTCTTTATTTTTATGTTGTATTTTTGTTTATTTTTGTTTAAGCTATGACACCAGTCTGTCCAGGGCTAACACACACAGACGGACAATCGCACTCACATTCACACACACAATTAACCTAACCCCACTAACGGCATGACTCTGGACTCTCTGGGTGCTCCCACAGAGGAACATGTCACCTCCACACAGAAAGGTCCTGCGTGGGGTTCAAAACCAGGCTTTTGTTGCTGCGAGGCAACAGTGAGAACCACTGCAGGATGATGACAGAGCGACTAAAACAGATGAATATTTGCTGGCTGGTGGTGTCGTGTGGCTTTAACAGTATTACTGCTGAGCTGTGCTGTAGTGCTTTTGGTTCTATCGCCTGGCGTCACTGCCAGCACTGCTTCTAGTTGGTTTTCCTCTCCGTACTCCAAGGACCAATCACTGGTAGTCGTGCATACTTTTCCTCTGCAGGACATCTACAAGTCACGGGTCAGCACCGAGGTCAACCATCGTCCCACCCACTCTGTTTGCAGATGCGTATTTACACAGGTCTATTGGAGGGAACAGTAAATAAGCGCAGCGTCATGGTGGGGGTAAAATGAGGACGTTGTTAACTAGCTTAACTCATCCTGGCCTTGAATGATGGAGCCAGGATAAAAAGATAAACAGAGCAAACAGCTAGTGCAGTGTTACCTGGAACTGCTACTTTCTTCTGTGGTTTTTGAGTCGTCTCCTTTTGCACATTTGTGCTCGTATATCTCAAAAACCATTAACGATGAAAGCCTGAAATGATCACGGACTTGCTTTAGTTTGCATTTTTGTGAAATATAATTAAACGCCATTCAGAAATTGTCAGTAACTATCTTTTGCAATGTGATTTTTTTATTAGTTTGTGCTTGAATACAGGTCTTTGCAGGACAGGATACAAAGGAAGATGAGATGTACGTCACGTGATGAACTCGGACCCTGCGATGTGGTTTAACCACAGTTTGTGTGCAGCTAAACGCCGTCCCCAGAGGCTTTTAAACCTGTAAAATCAGAACCTGCAAAGCTGACAGGTTGCAGATGTCAGACGTGCTTCTTTCTTCCTTGTGTTTTCTGTATGGAGATGTAGGCCAACACAGACACAGAGTTTACTGACATCAGTGATGTGGAGAAGCACAGGAAGGGGATGAGTAGGCTCTACTTCCTAAGGAAGTTAAGATCCTTCAGTGTGTGCACCAAAATGATGAGAGCTGGTACCCTCCACCCTGTGGTGGAGAGAACGTGACCGTGACAGTGTTGTTCCATGACGGATACTGGACATACTGGACATACTGGACAGGCAGCAGAGCTCCTTTTCAAACAGACCGGTTCAGTTTTGCTGCCTCAAACACAGAGACAGAAAACCTTCACGTCTCATGCTGCCACCTTCTATAATCCAATATATCTGCCACAGAGATCAGCATGTGACCTGTTACCACCTACAACACAATCTAAATCACATCGAGGTGACAGTAACCGTTATTCGCCATTATAAACAAAGTGGAGTTATTACGATGATTTCAGCTACTGTCAGTGCGTCCTGTTTTATTTTCATTTTGCTGCGTGTGTCTGATGTAAGTCCCAGAGACGGTCATTTCTGAGCTTTCCCATAAGACCTTAAGTCCTTTCTTTCATTGTTGTTGTTGCTTCTTTAATCATCTTTTAACTTTCTGAGCTTTCGCTGATGTTAAAATAAAGCGACTCATATGAAGCACTCACATCAGTCTATTGGCTGATATCACCAGATGCTGGTGCATCCCTGCTGAAAATGAATTTAGTCATTTTTCTTTATTTAAATAAGGATTATGGTCTCGGCTATTCTTCTTGGCCTTCGGTTGTTCGACAGCCACACGAAACTTTGCAAGGTGACACAAGAAGCCAAAATATCTGGTTAGTAACTCTTTCTCTTATTTGCTCAAACAATATTTTTTATGGTTATCTGTGAGTTAAAGGGATTAACAAGAAACAGGGTTTTATAAATGTTTACAAGTATAGATTCATCTGGCTCTTGTATTTCTAATAAGACACATTTCCTCACATAGATAGAAATTAAACAGGGAAAACAGTTTTTTTCTGGCTGTTTGTGCCAATAAACACAGTTTTAGTTTTTTAGCATTTTGAGGCAGGACATTTGAAGAACTTGCCAACTTTGCACATCGAGTTCGTTCTGATTAGGAGGCAGAATTTTGCAGGATCTCCCCAAAAGCATGAAACAAAAACAAGAGAAACAGAAGTCACACAATAACATTGAAAAGGCATTCTTCAGTCTTCCTGCTGAGACTTTAAAGTCTTCTATTATTTGTAAATTGTGTTTACCTCACAGTATAAAACACCTTGAGTAAACTGTTCTTGTCATTTGTTGCTATACAAATAAAACTGATTTGAATTGAACTGAAAATAAAAGGCAGATGCAGCCACTGTGGCTTTCATTGGTTAGTGAAGTCCTGCTATGAAACCTCCTGCTGAGTGCTTCTGCCACTGTCATGTTAGCTTTCCTTCTCATTCAGATGCCACAGGAGAATCTTATTTACAAATTAATTTCATGGTCCCCTCAATAAAACTCGTTTGCTACAGCTGCTTCTGTCAGACGCCACTCAGATGCCCATAGCTCCATATGGAGGAGATCACCACCACAAAAACAATCCACCCTCTGTGAAAGGACGAAACCATCCACAGCACAGCAGCAGATTAAAGATGGGGCAGAGGCTGTTGCTTTTTTGTAAACAGGAGTCACTCCCTGCTGGTCAGTGGGCAGAACGCTGGCTTCACCTCTCAGACCTGAAAGCTAGAGGAGAGTCTCCTTTTCATTGACATTATTTTGAAATGACTGCATGATGCTTGACTGATGGGCCGTTGCATAAAGAGTAGTTTCCACCTCTTCACTGCCAGCCAGTCAGAGTGCTCACTGTAACTGTCGAGCATTAAGTGTGTTTGGTTTGAAGTTCTGTTTGTTTGTCGGCTATTGATTGAGGACACAGTGACTGGCTGTCCACACACGTGAATGCATAACATGTTTTTCTCAGTCAAGCGTCAGTCTTAGTATTTTATAGCCTCCATGAACCAGTAACTTTTTGTCTTGGTACGGGACGTAAAAGCGTAAATGATGTGCAGGAGCTGCAGAGACTGTAAATCGTTCTAAGGTGGTTCGGTTTGGAGGAGTTCACTGACCACTCAGTGAGCACACAGAGCCCAAATCATCACTCCTCCTCCACCGTGCTGACAGCTGCTCTGAGGCCTTTCCTCTGAACGTTCTGCTGTGTATCATAGACAAACATCTCCACTTTGGTCTCGTCTGTTCCAGACGTTTTGTGCTTTGTTTTTTGCCGTTTACTTGAGTATTGTGTAGTCTGACCTTGGGGTGAATTCGTTGGGGAGTTCTCGCTATAGAATGATGGACTTGTTCTGAAATGACCTCTGAGATGGATGAGCAGCAGCACTTTCTGATGTCTTTCCTTCTTGGTTCTCCAGATCTCCAAACTGCCAGGACCTCATCACTTACCGATGATCAGATAATCTAGTGCATTTGATAGACAGCATCTGGCTGCTGCTCACACTCTTTACATCACTAAGGTTGGACTTGTACATTTTCATTCCTTTAAAAAGGACGAGAAAGGCTGAGCGTGTCATGGTCCTGGGTCATTTGACCCAGTGTTTTGCATCTTCCTGTGTTTTGTACTATGATTTATGTATCCAGGGCCTGGATCAAAGAGGGCACAACCATAAATTTAAGTCTTATAAAATCCAACCAGGTAGTTCCGGTGAGTGACAGTCAGTTTATTTACACTGAATAATGAACAGAGAGTCTGAAGAGTTTTCAAAAGTGTGACTCCTTCTGTGGTACTCCCGACTCCCGCACGGTGCTCGTGGTCCGTGGTGTGAAAGGTGGAAATCCAACACTCGATATTTACAGCAAAGCTCCGCTCCCACAACACACTCCTTACCAGCTTCCTGACAAGACAAGACGTGATGATCAGTTTAGTGTTCACGCCAGGCACGTGCAGAGGGGGTGGAGGGGGCTTGAGCACGTTGGGTGCCCCAAGTGCCCTTTTCTTGAGGCGTTTTTTCTTCTATGTGTGTGCGTGTGGGGTCCTGCCTGTGCCCCTCAACAAAAACATTTAACTATTATTCACAATTTTGCTAAATAAAAGGCTTGCATCAGTCACATGATGACCATTAACCAATGCTCGCCCTTGACGGCAGTGCGTGCCGGTTACGAGCCGGGAAGGAGCTCGTGAAGAGCTACAGGGCCTTTCCCTGCCACATAAATATGGAATATTATAATATTATAATTATGATATTCAAAAAACCGCACACACTGTATATATAATCTGTAAACAGATTATAGATTAGATTTATATTTCAAATATGACAAAATGCTGCAGCAGCAAAATGATTGTGTATCGATTTTTAAAAATTATTACTCATGTTATATTATTGTCCAGACATGCCCTGTAAGGACACGAGGAGGAAACAGTGACAGAAGCAGCTGTGTGAGGCTAAAGCAGTGGATCCCTCAGCAGCTGGAGTACAGGACAGGTCACAATAACACACGCATCAGTTGTTGCATCGCAGAGGTATTCAAGTATAAAAACAATAATAAACACAATTTCTTGGTTCTATAACATTTCCTGTCATTACTTTATTATGGATTAGGTGCAAGAGTTGTTAAGTGGGGCGACCGTGGCTCAGGGGGTCAGGAACCGCATCTGTCGCCGGTTCGATCCCTGGGCTCTCTGTCCTGGTCGTTGTGTCCTTGGGCAAGACACTTTACCCTCCTGCCTACTGGTGTTGGCCAGAGGGGCCGATGGCGCGATATGGCAGCCTCGCTTCTGTCAGTCTGCCCCAGGGCAGCTGTGGCTACAACTGTAGCTGCCTCCACCAGTGTGTGATGAATAGTGGCATTGTAAAGCGCTTTGGGTGCCTAGAAAAGCGCTGTATAAATCCAATCCATCATTATTATTATTAAGTGTGGATAATTAAATAATAGTTTAATGCAATAGCAGATTGTGCCTCGTTCTCAGGTGGACAGCAAGTGGAGAGTGAAAGACCAGAGAAGGAGATGGAAGGAGGAAGACAGTGATTCACAGGCAGAGCCTAGTTTGTTTTCTCACAATTTTCTTTCATAATTTTTCTGTTGTCTTATGGTTTTATGTGCACAAAGCAAAGAAGAAACCTTGTTTATAAGTTAGGAAGCAGTGGAAGGTGATGACATCTCTTTGATATTTCCTGGGAAAAGCTTTGATCTGGATGGTCTCTGATCAGTGCTGGAAACTAGACTCATTCATTTCCATGGAAAGTGCGTCTAATGGCCAAGTATATGCACAAACACATACAAGGAATTTGGCTCCAGTAGATGGTGACTCTCAAGCACAGCAATGTAAATCACAAAAATATGTAAAGGACACAACACACACACACACACACACACACACACACACACACACACACACACACACACACACATATGAGATGAAGATGACTTTCGTTTCCTGCAGACCTTCATATGTCCCGGGCTGTGGGACTCATATTTGCCTTCACGATCAATAGATTTCTGTCCTGCTGTCAGACCCTCGCTTTGGCCCCAGCTGATTCTGGCGTGACGCACTGAGGCGGTCTCCCTGTGCGTGAGGCCAGCTCCTCTCTTTCACTGCTCCTACATGCTGATTGATGCTGTTAAGGTTTTGTGGTCGTATGGTTCTGGTTAGTGATGTTAGAGGGGTGTGATGGTACAACCCTCAACCTCCACCAATGGAATTATGGGCAGGGCTCAACACCCATTTTCAGGGATCTCGCTATAAAGCCGGGTTTGTACATCCTGGCTTCTGTTCTTTAATTTAACTGAGAGCGATTAAACTGCGCTTCTGCTTTTTGGAGACTTTGAATAAATCATGAGGTAAGTAAACAACATTATTTTTCTTTCTTTTTTTTAAAATTATGTAATTTCATTAATTGGCTGATTTAAAATCACGTATGAATTGAGTGGCATCCTGATAAATTACAAGTTTTCAAAGACTTATATTACACATTACAGCACTCTTATTACGACCGGATAACTTTATGCTTTAAACCACTTAATACTAAACCTCAGCTTCTTTGTAGACCGATGAATCTATGAATGAATTATCAATGAAATATTAACCTGTGAATGCGGTCACTTTCATTTATTACAATCTTGAACAGAAAAGCTTTGAAAGTTAAATCAAAATCTGAGCAGATCAATAATTCACGTTGATGAGGAAAATATATAAATTGTTTCTTGTTTTTTCTTTTTTTATGCACAAAACCTCAATTTTTCAAGTTTTTTTTTTTTGTACCTCAGGAAAAAGATTTTTTTCACAATGTAGGCGAGACCATTAACAACTGTTACAGTATATATAGTGTAGTACATACATGTGTGTGTGTGTGTGTGTGTGTGTATATATATTCGGTTTTTTTAAAAAAAAACCCATAGATAATACTGATGTATGAAGGTTGTCGGTGGAAGATTTGTAGTGTTTCTAGTATTTTATTTTAGTATTTTCCAAACACAAAGTTCACACAGCTGGAAGTAAGCAGGAGTAATCAGGCCCAATAAACACCAAGAACCCCCCTCTCCCCCTTTTTTTGGAGCCCTTTGTTCATATACCGGAGATGACGGAGCCAAATTAAAGAAATGAAAACAGAATTGAACAATTAAATATACTAAATGTATTTAATAGAAAGGAATTAAATGCATCAACATCAGAAGGCGAACCCAAAGGCCCAGATTAATTCATTTATTCTATTTCATTGGACTCAACTTGTGTCATTGTACTAAAAACACAAAGAGCAATTAAATGCATAAAAAATACAAATAAAGATTCTAATTAATCTAATTAATGTAAAATGTTCATATTCATTTGAATTAATTTTTGTGTTGATTTAATTGTTTTTAAAATAAATTTTTAATTTGACATACTTTATGTATTAATTGGTAAATGTATGCATGTATATATTTATATATTATTAGTTGTTGGTGACCGCACCAT